CAGGTTCATAAACAGTAATACGCACATACTATGAAGTGCTGCTTGGCTTTGGATTATTGTGGTCTAGTCCCAGCATTGCTTATTTGCGAGAATACATTAGGAAATTGGATTTCACTGTGACAATAATGTGGTAATGAAAAGCTGTGAAATGCCAAGAAAAGCAAATAACTTAGTCTTTTTATTGCCAGGAGAAAGGATGAAGTAAAAAAAAAAAAAATAGAAACGCTAACATTTCAATTTTACCTCTTTATAAAGAGATACTGAGGCTGATTTATTAAAGGATTTGGGAATGTTCACACAATACAATGTGTGAAGATTCACTTCAGTTATCTAATCATGTGCAGATGAAATACGTGAGCAAGGATTCCTTTCACATGTTTGGATAATTGAAGTGAATCTTCACAAGTAAACAACCATGGTCATAACCGGTTACATGAGCATTAGGCTACCATCACCCCTGGAACCAGAAATCTCTGTGGCCATACAGATTCAATCACTTTTGTACAGTGAGGCTGATTTACTAAAGAATTTGAGAATGTTCACGTGATAAAATGTGTGAAGATTCACTTCATTTATCCAATCATGTGCAGATGAAATAAGTAAAAAAGGATTTTATTTTCACATGATTGGATAAGTGAAGTGAATTATCACATTGTATTGTGTGAACATTGCCATTAGTAAATCAGCCTCACTGTTTACATAAAGTGATTGGAGTTGTACGGTCACAAAGATTTGCGGTCCTAGTGGTGGTGGTAGCCTAATGATTATGTAACAAAAACCAATCCCATTTGTGTTTTCTTGGTTTCATATGATTTGCTCTTATCCGGTCTTTCATATTTTACTTGCAAAACAAGGACAATGTTGGATAGAATACTGGCTCTGTGGTTAACACATTTGTATTTGCAGTTCTCATATTTAATTCAAGGACATCATCTAAATGGGGTTTGTATATTTCTTTTCTGTCTGGATTAGTCTTCTAGGCGTTCTGTGTTCTTTCTAAATGATATACTTAAACGTTAAGGCCTAACTTATGCACACATCTAGATAAATCAGAGGAGGGACACCCAAGTATGACATTTCCATTACATAGAGGCTTTTAGAAAATGCGCTGCGACTGCTGGGCCTTCTTCTTAGAAATCCCAATATGCTTTGCAAATTAAAAATTACATGAAATTATCAAAAAAACATATTAGTTGGGCTGTTAAAGTAAACCTGTTTCCAGGGCAAAGGAACAGGTTTGCATTAATGGTGGCCTCGTCAGCAGCACAAACTCACATTCTTTCACTCTCCTGCCAATCTGCGATGAGAAAAATATCCAGGTATGGGGAACATATGGTTAACTCCTCTTCCTCCCACATGACAGCTTGGCAATTGGCTGCTCAGGCACCCAGCACATGGAAGTGGAGAACCATGACTTTGATCATACACAGATCTCTTCACTCATGGTGGCCAAACGGAGCCCAATGGATGGTGAAGCAAAGGATTATGTACAGTTGGGAAGTGCTGTATTAAAGTGAACCTATTTCTTTACTTTTCATAGGCCAAGCACAGGTTTACTTTAATACTATTCTTTTTTATTTCAAAAGTGTGGGAGCTATGCCAAGCTGTTGGACCTGTAATGCCACATAGATAGGAGTAAAGCCTTGATGGCAAAATGTTTGTTTGTACCAGACGGTTATGCGGGGAGACAAATTCTTTTTCTAGTGCAGCAAAATGGAGAGGGAAGCAACATCTTTTGTACACAGATAAACGGGGATTAGCTTTCCTGCTTGTCTCCGAGTACATGACATAGAAATAAGAGATATTCTGAACACTTGGACTGTATAATAATTCCCAAGCTGCACAACGAAAGATGTGTATGAGGATGAGAACTAGTGGAATATGCTTAACCTCTTCGTAATAAATTGACATCACGTTCATTTCAGCAGATGCTGTTTTGTTGTTGTAAACTTAATTGCAATATGTTTTTCTTGCATATCTTCAAGCTGTTTGTACTCACTCATCTTTTTATATGTATGAGTTCTGTCTCTATATTGAAGTGCACTTTAAACACGGCGGTGGTGGGCGGGTATATGAGCAGAGGAATTAATATGCATGGGAATGTAGCTTGTCAGTTTACTATGAATTGAGAACATTACTAACGCTTGGATATTCATAAGGATGCAGTCAGCTACAGAATTGGCAACCAGTGGTTTCCCATTCATTCTCTGTTGTGCTTGTGGTAAAGTGCCATCTCTGCTCCTCTCTGAATCACATCACAGTTCCAAGAAGTGCTAGTAGTCTCTCTTGGCTTTTCCTGATGTACTCTAAATTTATGCTATCATGGCATGGCTTAAATTGTTTCATTCAGCTGGTAAAGAGAAAGACATCCACAACCTTCTCCTAAGCAGTAGCAGGAGTGTCCCAGTATTGATCTCTTGCTCTTCCTCCATTTATAGTTGAGCTTCGGGTTAGGTATTGATCAGTATTGTCGTATGTGCCTTGATTACTTATGGAAAAACTGTTGCGTTAAGAAATATAAAGGCCAACTCTTGTCCCGTCACCCGTTCCTCAGAACTTGCAGAACAATGGCCTCTTCACATCCAACCCACTTCCAGGTATGTGGGATTCTGTGGTTACACCTAAGGCCCCTTATATCACTACAGGACGTAGTAATGACATAGGTGTCCGCAGATGTAACCACAAGACATAGTGGACGCAGGCATCTGACACTCCCGGAGGTGCAAGTCAAGATTCTGCCACAGCTTGCCTGAGCACACTAGAGAATGATTGTAGATTTGTAGGCCCCTCTATGGACCTGGCTGAGCCTGCTAACATGACATTGGATTGGTTGGGATGTTTTTTTTCTGGCCAGTCGCTATTTTTTCTCCCAGATAGCTGATCCCTCCAGTGCACCCACATCAATCCACAACACACACCAACATGCAAGCTTACTGGATGCAAACTTGGATGTAAAAGAAGAGCTCTGGGATTTTATAAAATGTTCCCTTCTAGTAGGGCTACCCCCCCAATCAAAGGTTAACTGCTCATTTTGATCTAGGGGTACAAACAAAGCAGATATACTCACCTGATCCTCACTCCCGCAGCAGTCAGCGCTCACCTCTCTTCCCCTCTGCTTCAGCTGTGGTGTGTGCCTTGGCGTCCTCATGTCTAATGCAAGGCACTAGACAAGCATAAGATGTAATGATGGCAGCGGGCCTTAGACCGCCGGAGCCCAGGGGAGAAGAGGTTCCAGGGAGCAGTCTATCAGCCAGGCAGGAACAAGTATTGGTTAAATATCTCTTCTGACACCAGGAGTGTCAAACTCATAGCGGGCCACATCAGCATTTTGTTTGCCCTCAAAGTGTCTGTTGTATCTGTAAGACTTTAAAAAACGCATCTACTCTTTATCATATTATTATCATATTATGATTATCATATTAAATAATTGCCTCTGCATTATTACTGTTTTTTGTAATAACTTAACTAACTCTGAAGTAGAAGTGTAGGAAAAATAATGGAAATTAATGTAAATAGTGCGGACTCTCAGGTGGGTGTGCAGGTTCTATGGTGGGCTGTGCGGACTCTCAAGTGGGCTATGGTGGGCTGTGGAGGTCCTATGGTGGGCTGTGTGGACTCTCAGGTGGCCTATGCGGGGTCTATGGGCTGTGCGGACTCTCAAGTGGCTGTGCAGGTTCTATGGTGGGCTGTGCGGACTCTCAAGTGGCTGTGCAGGTTCTATGGTGGGCTGTGCAGGTTCTATGGTGGGCTGTTCAGTCTCTCAGGTGGCTGTGCGGGTTCTATGGTGGGCTGTGTGGACTTTCTGGTGGCCGTGCAGGTTCTATGGTGTGCTGTGTAGACTCACCAGGGGACTCGGTCGGTCTTGGAGGTTGCGGGCAGCGTGGATCCACAGGAAGGAGGAGGACATTTTCAGCCAGAGCTATAAACAGGCGCCGCGATTTATAGGAAGACTTCCAGGACTTTGCTGGGGACCTCGGCAGCCTTCATGTGAAGCCTGGCCCCTGTTTAAAGTGCCGGCTTCGGTTTCAAAATTTTAAGCTGCAGGAGAGGTGCGAGGGCCACATGAAATGACCTGACGGGCTGGATTCGGCCCGCCGGCATTTTGTGTGACATATGGGCCAGAGACCAAAATGAGCAGTTAACCCTTGCAAAACAGGGGTAGCCCCACGGAGCAAATTCCACAAAGTTTTTTTGATCATTTCTGGAATTCCTCTTTAATGTAAAGACTTTTCTTATACACATCTGTGTTCTCTCTGGTATTCTCATGAAATAAAACTTCAGACTGCCATTGCATTTTCTTCCTAATGTGTCGGCTAACATAAAGAAGGATAAACTGCAGTGCAAAGTTGCACAAATCCCAATGACCTCAATGTATATACAGGTGATCTCAATTTACCTACATGGCTGTGAAATGTATTAGTTGCTTTTTCATGTACGTGATATTTGTAACTTGCTCAGTTTAGGTTTACTAGTACTTAAAGCTGAACTCCAGACAAAAAAAAAATCTTTCATTGAAATACATACCTCAATAGCCACACAGGATCTAAATTCACTTTTGTGCACCAAATGCATTTTGAAAACCTAGCAACTTGAAAATGTATCGGCACTTCTGTACTGTACAGAGCTTATGCAGAGAGCAGAGCTGTGGGAGGGACCTATCAGGCCCCACCCACTACAGGCTTCCTGCAGATAAATACAAGAGTGGTGGATAAAAGCCCAATCACCATGTACAAGGAGGGAGGGCAGCAGCGGCTGGTCTGTATTACAGGAAACCTATGCACAGAGGTAAAGTTTCCAGCTGGATTACTGCACAGGTCTTGGAGAAATACATAAAGTACAACACAATTCAAGTAAGTTTATACATGTCTCTTATATTTATACAATTTTTGCTTATGCCGAAGTTCAGCTTTACAATCTTTCTTCCCATCCAAGCACAACTAAGCAGGTCAGAAAGATAAACTCAAAGTAAAAACTAATGGTAATCTTTATTTTTTCCCCAGGAACTGTACATGGAGTACAGAGGACCATTGGATTCTCCAGTCAGTTATCAGCCAGTATCCCTATGATCTTCCAAACAGAAGAGCTTTGTATTTGGATATGCTTTCCAGACTTCTCCCACACAAACCAAGGCAGGAGCTGGTCAGTGATTGTTCTTCACCTTCAGTCTTTGTGAATGGAAGTGTTATGGCTGCAAACTGAACCTACATTTTTTTTAAATGCATTACCCCATCAAAAATAAAAGTCACTGCTTTCTAGGAAATTCATAGCCTGCACTACTGATCCTACATACCAAATGGCTTTCTTTGTAGTGTACGGGTGGTAGTTACATCTACTTGTTTCATTGTTTACTTAATGATCTTTCAATCTGGATAAACAACTAAATACACAGATCAGAATTGTTTTACCTGGCAAAAATCTGTAAATATGTTCAGGCTATCTTATATTTCAGGCATTTCTACCAGATAGAATAGCCAGATCCTACACCTGCACAGCAGCTAAGCAATTCAGCCTGGTCCAAGAGCCACTGCAGACTGTAATTTGACACTGAGGAGCAGAAGAACACTGATGATTGTCAACCTTTTAGAGGGATTTCCCCTCACTTACTGTCATCTCATACCTCCCAATTTTCAAGGATGAGAAAGAGGAACACCCTTTATCACAAAATATGTTGGCAAAGGACACAGCCTTGTCACGCCTCCAGTTATGTTCACGATGAACATAATGTTCATCGTGAACGATGAACATTATGTTCACGATGTTCACGATGAAGGAGCAATGAGCATTGCCTAAACCCACAAGTACTTTTTTTCATCACTACTTTATACTGGCTTATAAAAATAATAATTAAATAATAGAGGTCCATGTAAAAGGTTTAGTGTAGTATATAGCACTTTAAGGAAGATAAATAGTGCATTTATTACAGAGGTCCAAAAAGGTCATATTGACATTGGTTTAACCAGACAGGAAGTGTAGAAAATTTGCAGTAGGGACACAGTCCGCCATTAAAATGGAGGGTCTAGCCTTCCCCTAATTTGCTAACTAAAATGTATTTCTGTCTGTGTTGATGTCTGGTGAAACCGTGGTCACCGGGACAGGATGTAAGGGTGAATCTCTTGAACGGAGAGCCAAAAAACAGTAAAACTCGACAGGGGGGTTCTAATCCTTCCCCACTGTATACAAAAATAACATTTTGTTTGGACATACACTTTAACAAGGCACAACAAATAGTAGTAATGATACAGTATATGAAGTGTAATTAGACATAGCAGCTACTACATTTCATATTAGGGCAGTCAGAACATGAAAGATGATTTTTTTATTAGTTTCTCATATTTTGTGCACATTGCACTTTGCATTTTTAAATAAATCTGATAACGCTTTATACAGTGGCAGACCTAATAACCAAAGGGCCCTGGTGCAAGATTTTATGTTGCACCAGGGCCGGGGGGGTGCGGGAGCGGAAATCACTGGCTCCTGTTCTAACACTGGGACCCTGCACTGCCCCATATTGCAGGACCGGACCCCACTGAGGCTGTGGGGGTGCCCAGGACCGGACCCCACTGGGCCCCCCACAGCCTCAGGCCCCGGTGCTGCATTGGTGGTAGTTCAGCCACTGGCTTTATAGCTGTAATTATGCTCCGGATAGTACACAGAGGGGTTGATTTACTAGAGACAAATTGGTAGTTCACTTTTCAAGGGATTTTTCCATAGCTCAGGAGCAGGGCCCTCCTTACAATCTTGTCTTGAACTGTATTGTGATTGTAATGTCTTCCTTATATTGTAAAGCGCTGTGCACACTGTTGGTGCTATATGAATCCTGTATAATAATAGCTTAGTGAATGAACTCACTTTGTAAAGAATACCCAATCACGTGCAAGGAAAATTAAAAGAACAGTATTTGTCCTTGCACATGATTGAATTATGGAAGTCATCAGAGCTTCAAAACATTGACTACGCTAAGGGAAAAATTCCCTTACAATGTAAACATCTATTTGCCTTTAGTAAATCAACCCCATTGTGTTCACTCTATGGGGATGATTTACTAAAGGGAAATAAGCTGTTCACCCAATACCTATACCCAATCATGTGCAGGGAAAATGAAAAAACAGTATTTTTGCTTGCACATGATTGAATGATGGAAGTCAGCAGAGCGCTGCCTCATTTACTAAAGTAGGGGGAAATTTCCCCTGCAAAGTGCAAATTCCCTTACATAGAGAACAGCCTATGTTCCTTTAGAAAATCAACCCCATGTCTTTTTCCTGCCTTGTAATTTAAATTCCTCTTTTACTGAGCCCTGGGCTATGGTGATTTACTTTGTGCTTGTTATCTACAGTATTGAGGAGGTTATTCCATATCCCAGGTGGGCTGTAACAGTAATAGTTATGAATTTACAGTGCAGCTTGTCATTAAGCAGTAAAGTGAGCCAGCCAATATATAACTTATTTGCAACGGAGTCTTTCTGAATGTGTTCCAGGCAGAGTAACAATGGCATAATTATCACCGCCCACATAGTTGGCCAAATTCTAATTTAATAAATGCCAGCAAAGCTATAGCTCTGAAAGAGTGATATCAATTGTTAGAATCTTGCCATTCTTTTGGAGCATTTAGACACATTGCACATTGTGTTAACATTGCATCTGATGCCCAGGGGTATCAGCAAATGAGCAGGTATATGTAACCCTTTCCTGCTGCATTGCCTCCCATTGTTGCCTGCGTGTAATATGTATTTTCAGATATAAAAACTCCAGTTATGGTGCCTCTTATTATTATCTCTTCTTTGCTACATATGATAACATAGCAGTCTTCCCATCATTTTACTCTACTGAGCAAGACCTTGTGGCGTGCTGCCATGACTACCAGCCATGACAAGCCCAATATAACTTTAGGGGGGAAGCCAAATATAAACGGATGCGCATCTGTTTACATCTGGTTACCTCCAACTCCTTCTAGGTCTGGATAAAAAAAAGAAACAGAGTTCTGTTTTGGTGAACCGGAGGTAATTGGATGAAAACTGATCCATGTCCACTTATGTCGGTCAATTCTGTTTTTTCCTCTATCGCAAGATGGAGGGAAAAATTGAATGGACACGGATGTCACAAAAGTGACATTCATTCCGTTCAACTCTGATCAGCAGTGGATCTGTGCACGGACCCCCTGCTAATTGGAACGGATGGCGCCCATGTGAAAGGGTGAGACTAGACAATCTAGAGATTCTAGTGATAAAATTGGAATAATCAGCCTCAAGCCTTCAGTATCTGCTGGTTGTTATTCAGCACACAGCTCAGGTCTATGCAGTGCACACCTCCTCTAATCCAGAGTATTTAAGAGACTGCTGGACATTCAACCGGTGCGTGATCGACAGTCAAGTCTGTCTGCTCATGCTTTGGATTTAGGACTGTTTGACTTCTGATTGTTCTTACCCTAAATTATTCCTGCAAATGATGTAGACTGCCTCTGTACTCAGCTTTTCTGTGGTTATCCTGACCATTGGCCTGTAATCTGCTATTGTCAGTCAATGCTTTGTTTACCTGTCAGCTGGACTATGTTTAGATTTCTTTTTTTGCACCTGATAGCCTTCTGTTCTGCCTTTTCAAATAGGGTCACCCCTGATGATACAGTGGCACTGATTTACTAAAGGAATTTAAGAATGTTCACACGATAAAATTTGCAAATATTTACTTTAATTATCCAATCATGTGCAGATGAAATAAGTAAACAGGGATTGTCTTTTCCCATGATTGGATAATTGAATTGGATCTTCACATTTTATTGTATTGTATTAGCTTACCTAAATCTTTTAGTAAATCGGCCTCAGTGGGTCCACTGAACTCTGTGACAAAAATCATCTGTGTATTTATGTACAGACTCTATATAGTGTAAACACAAAGCATCCATAGAAAACCGACACTTGGCACAGGATCAGTCCAATTATATCAAGTTATTCCCAAAAAGGCATAAAAGCAGTCAATAACAAACCTCTGACGCGTGTTGGCCCCAGAACCGACTACTACTAAGGCTCATTTCTGGGGCTTAAACGCATTAGAGGTTTGTTATTGACTGTTATTATTATATCTTTATGGGAATATATTTATATAATTGGACTGATCCGGTTTCAAGTGTCAGTTTTATATGGACTCTTGGACTTAAGGCTGGAGGGGAATCCTTATCTGGCACTGAGGTTCCATTAGTGGGAGTGGATGTGTGAGAGTTAAGCCGTTCCATTTTTGTCTGTTTCCTGTAACCACAAAGCATCTCTTTTTAGTACATAACTATAAGGTCCATATCTTTGGTAATGTGAAGGAAGCTAACTGAAGTACACATGACGCAAGAGGAAGCATGTATGAAGGTGGTGTGTATCTATGTTGAAAGCTATTGTATTTTTGCTGTTGTTCCTTTCATACAATGCAGATTGTGGGTCTTACTGTTTGCTAGGGAGTTGCACAAGGTGAGAAATCCTTTATATTATTACATGGCTTTGTTCCAGTCTTGCAGGGATTTTCCATTTACTTCTTGGAAATCTTATTCAAAATCATAGAATTCATGTGCTGTGGAGCCTATATGGGGGACAACAGATTTGAATGTTATGGCCTATGCTGAACATTATGTGTTGGGACAAAAAGCTCCCAATGGCAATTAGTATTCAGTTAGCAATGAACAGTTGCCAAACAGCTGGGATGGTAGATGTGGTTTTTCAGTGGCTACAGATGTTCAAATGAATCATATGGTCATGTATTTAGCCATCTGGACATTTTACTTCAACACTTAGCAGCCTGATGCTTCAATTTGGCCTTATGTATTGACAAACAGAATCTGACAAATTACAGCTGCTAGTCAACCAACTACATTCTAGTGTATGCAGGGTCAACGTTACCATTACCACCAGTGGGCCTTTGTCTATAGGCAGCAAAGGGAAAGAGGTGGCTTTACTTTGCATAGTGATCAGCCACACACATTGTTTCCTGTCCACAGTGACCTCATATAAACTTCATCACACATTAGGAGGCAAAGAAGGACAATTAAAACAAAATAAATATATTAGTGTAAAAGAGGCGATCTTTGCAGTGGGTTGACACTTGCCTACAGGCTGTAGTAATGGAAATCCAGCCCTGCATGTATGAACAGGCTTAGGCCCCTTTTACAAAGGCATTTTAATCAGGTATGCCGGTCAGTTTTTCAGGCAGATCTGAACAGAAGTCAGATGTTAGTCAATGGGCGCTGGATCTAAAACGACGTGCATCCATTTACATCCGATTTCCCGCAAATCCAGACAGGTCTGGAAAAACAAACTGAACAGAGTTCGGTTTTGGTGGACCTGATCATGATGCATCGGGGTAATATGATGTAAAAGTAAATCAAAATTCAGAAACATCACCAGCACACCAAGATAACGTGAAATTAGTCAATTTAATGACACAAAATCATCATACATGCTTTTGAAATGTCATTAAATGGACAATTTCACGTTATATTGGTGTGCTGGTGACGTTCCTGAATTTTGATGTACTTCACGGTGCCAGCCGTGGTCATTACAAGCACCCACCTGGAATACAGGTTTACTTTGAACCGGTAAGGAGTGCAGCAAGATGCATTTTATATTATATGATGTAAAAGGACACATGCCTGTTTACATCCTCATAGACCAACATGGGTCCGGTAAGGTCAAACATGGGTCCAGGAAGCTCAGTTTTTCCTTCATCTTGTGATGGAGGAAAAATAACTGGATGTACACGGATGTCACAACATCTGTGACATCTGTTCCAAACTGCTCCAATCAGCAGGGGATCCATGCACACATCCCCTCCTGATCGGAACTGAAGGCACCCTTGTTAAAGGGGTGTTAGGCATTTGAGATCAGTTCGGGATCAGATTGAATGTACAATAACTGTCCCATAAGATTCCATTCACACTTACTGCATTAAACATCATTCAAAAATGCTTTAAAAACTGAAGCTGAAAGCAAGTGACAAATGCCTGTGTATGGTAGCCCTAAGTGAGACCTTCAAATCCCTATTTGTCCATGCTTGTTATTGCAGTTTGCATGGAGCAGAACTCAATATCATTGTAAGCCTGGTTGAGTAAGAATGAAAAGTGCTTGGTTTATATTTATATTCTGCTCACTTTGCAGGTGAGCCATGAAAAGATCTGGGACTTGAATCGCTTCGCTAAAGACCAAAGAAAAGCTCTGATAGAAAGCCGGACTCGGTATAAGAAAGATTTTGTCTTGAAGGCACTGCTGACCATCGCTGAAGCCGGTTCTGCATATGAAGCAGAACTCATTCTGGCTAATGACAGGCTGCAGCAACATCAGATTTGTACTGAGCTTAAGGAGAAGGTAAGTGATGGTCCCATATAATGCCCTACACCTAGGGCAGTGATTTACGGGGGTGACCAACCCCAGGTCTTCCCATTATGAAGGAACTACAATTCACTGCTATACCTGTGCTGCTTCAATAGTCTTCTGTCAATTTGACAGCATTCACGGCTGGTATATTTTAGTAGAGTACGGTAAATAAAAATGATACGTGAAAGTGACATTTAGGGATAGAACTTAAACTTGTTACTGGTGTGAGCCTAGTCTTAGTGATGACATCATTGTCATAATACATAATGAGATCAACATGGTACATGTGACCAAGGCAACTCACTATTAGGTCCTGACTGGCTTTACTAAAAAAAATTGTCTCAATGGTCAATGTTACGCAGTGGATTGTGTGGAGTTTAAAAAGGTTCAGATGCTTATAGGTCAGGAATATGGGAAATGTTTAATTTTTAGTAAGGCTGTATGGACCAGGTCTAGGACTCCAGGAAGCCCATTGTAGTATCGACCGACCTGTCTACTAATCCAGATTGCTCCACCTCCCCTACAGTAATAGCAGCCAGTGGGCAAACTGTAGGCTTAGCAGTAAATGCACATGGCTATAGAGAGTATAGGTATAAAGTGGCATTGTCCCCATGCACATAAACATCAGTGGCCTAAACATCATCCCCCCCCCTTTAAAATGTTTGTGAACTTGTAAATGTTAATTATTTTATATTAATATTCCCTATATCTACCATAAGTACCTAAAGTCTTGATATCAGCCTACAGTGATCCTATGAACAGTAAGACTCAGACTTAGAGGGAGAGGAGGTGGACTTTGAGCTCTACTGCCTAAAGCCAGGTATTCACAGTATGAATTTTGCACAGTGGGTGTCGCTGTTGGCAACCTTTCGCCCGGCATTCCTCAATCAGCTGATCAAAGGAGCCGTTCAAAAATTCTCAGCTGAACGGAGCTAGCAGCCAATAAGCTGGTAACTCCATTAGGCTAATACAATGCAAAGAGCGGGGTATTCATCCATCAAAGCTCAAAAGCGTTGATAGGGGAATCTGTTATATTTTCTTCATTCAGCTTGCAGGTTGGACTAAAAAAAAAAATATAAGTGTGTATACCCGGCTTTACACAGTGCTGTCTGTCTCCCTTCCTAAATGTGCTTACTCAAGAAGAGAGGAAAGCAGAGGAATTCCCTTGTCAGTCCTTATTGCCCAATCAGCAGATAAAGGGCAAGTCTGTGACCAAGCTGTTTTTCTTAACTACAGAAGAGAAAAATTAGGTCACTGACCTGCCAATACTGTCTGTCATGGTTATCTCGACCCCAAGACCAGCTGAAAAGAATGACACACATTTTGGCTGGCCAGACATATTAGATGTATCTAATTATGTGTTTTCCTGGAGTTCTTTAAACATTTTGGGAGGACCACACATTTACAGAGCTGCACATGTTTCCCTTAGGTTTGCATTTAGTTCCCACAACCCTTTTTTTTTAATGTCCCAAAATAGATTTCTGGAAATCTGGTTTCATAAGACACATGTGATCTTATCTCTGCCATGTAATACAGTATATACCCATTGTCAAAATGAATAAAAGACCATAGGTGGTAACAAATGTACTTCTTGTGGAAGAGACAGGTGAGAGCTCTGAAACTTTGAAGTCATCACAAGCTTCTTTTGACATGACATTTTCTGCAAGGTGAGAATAATCTTGTCAGCCTAGGCTTTCATTTTCTGTTCCTAGTACCAAATTACAAGAGGGCTTCTGTCACATAAAGCACAGACCTGAATGTACAGAGATTCTTTGTGGAGAAGCATTACACAAACTGCTTCCAAGCAAAGTCAAGTAAAGCAAAATCTCTGTAACATAATTTTATTAACTCCAAGCCTTTACGTACATTTAATTGAATTCATTGTATTAATTAAAGTAGAGCTTAAAGGAGAACTATGGGGTCAGTGTTTTTCCCCATAGTTCTCCTTAGGATAACGGGAGGACACAAACTAGCGTCCTCCTGTTACCCTAATCTCAGTATACCGCGAGCTACAGCTCGCGGTATACTGAGACGCCGCAGCTGGAGCGGATCCCGACTTAGATGACGGGATCCACCCAGCTGCGTGAGTGACAGCTGGCTCTGCCTATCTAGAGGCAGAGCCAGCTGTACCCGCCCCCTCCCCCGTCCGTTCCGCCAGTCAGCGCTGGCAGATCGGAGTGGGGAGAGGAATCCAGACCCTCCCCCTGTCACGGCAGAGAACCGTGACAGGATCGAGAGGCGAGCGAACCCAGTATGTGTTCGCTCACCTCCCGATCTACTGAGCCGACCTGTGACAGTCTCATTGTCACAGGTCGGCTAGAACTATGAGGTGAGTGAAAAGCACTCACCTCATAGTTCTCCTTTAAGTCAAGATACATATTTCGAAAGCTACAGTTTAGTTGCCAGTGCATAAAGAGAGCATGAATTACCTGCTCAAGGATCCAGTTTTTCATACATGCATACACTATGCATTATACCTAAAAAACTTGGAGGCCAACCCATTCCAAAATCATTGGCACGAATAAGAAGTAGACCTTCCTTTGGTGCTATAACAGCCTCCATTCTTCTGGGAGAACTTTCCACCTGTGGTCTGTGGTAATATGTGCCCATTTAGCCAAAAAAACCAAAACATTTGTGAGGGACGAGAAGACCTAGCTCGCAACTTGCATTGGTAAATCACATCAAAGGGCTTCCATAGGTTAGATTAAGTTGTAAGGCTGGTCAGGGTGGGCTGGGGTTTTTACTTAATAACTGAACTTGACCTGCTTTAGTCTGTCTGTCTTGATCCTGTTTGCATACCGCCATGGCAGTTATATAGGATCTTAGGTTCTTGAAGCCTAAGTTGTAATATAACACTGCAGAGAAGGAGGGAAAAGTTGAAGTGATTAAGTGCTTTGTATTGGTTTATTACTACAGCTTTTTTATCATATGTTGTAACCCTGCAGTCTTGTTTTTGTAGTTGCTGCTTCCTTGTTCTCCCTTTTACCTCGGCACTACAGAACCTCACAGGAAGCAAAACCTAACTCTCTAAAAACCTAATCTCCTAGAGCTATAATCTATTTATCTACATTGCTGTACCTATATGTTATTGTAATGACTGCAGTCTTAAAATAGAAAGCCACAAATAGGAGGGTTTTCATACGAGTCTTAAGAGTCCAAACAGCAAGTCAGGTTTCAAACTGGTTGCTAACAGTTTTATTTCGCTCCATTATCAGAAATGGATACATAGCATTTTCAGCATTTAACAACTTGAGTTGCTGGAAATAAGGCAGCTTGTCCACAGCACTAAAACATAAAAACAAATCCCAGCCTGGCCAGCTCTAACTGAAAATCAATTCCCTTTCTAGCAGGGTTCTTGGGTCAAGATCAATGAAGTCAGTAGATCTTACAATGCTGCTGCCCCACAGAATCTCTCTATAGAGCTAGGTATTCTGGCTTCCTAAGGTGATAGTATGAGAGACATAAAGACAAAAAGGATGTCCCGCTTCTGGAGATACATTAGCTCTAATCAATTACCCTTGTGTTTCAGTACATCAACCAAGATCCATAACCAGAAAAATATCTCAAATAAACAAAAAAGTTTGGGCCGTCTGCCAGTTCGAGGCGGTCCAAGGGTTACTTTAAAGATCGGGACGTACTATGGATTTAATTTAATGAAAAAATATTTATTTATTCAATTTCAAATATAACAAACGTGGCCAATCTATATTTGTCGACCAATAAAAACAAAGTGAACAAAAAGGTTTTTTGAGCTGACTGTTGTTTCTGTTGCCTTCATTCGGACTATTTTAACCCTTGTGGATTGTATTGCTCTTATCGGGACTTGTGGCAGTTTTCCCTGTTTACCAGGGTATGTGTGGTTCCTCAGATATCCTTCCCATGTATGATTGATTTCACCCGTGGATTAAATATGCGGTCTCCCTATTGATAGTGGAATATCTTTGCTATCTTGTATCCGGAAATTTGAGAATGTTTATAGATAGTTCCTTCCCTTTAATGCTTCCGTAGTGATTATCTTCTGTGATTTGGAGTCTATTTAATCGTTAGATTACTACGATTGGTTAGAGGTAAGCTATTTTCTTGTGTGATGTCGGTGGTTTGATTGCTCACCTTTTGTGTTTATAGGCTGTGATGTTTCTTTTATGGCATGTGTTTGGAATAAAGTTCTTTCTTTACTCTCTGCAGAGTGTGTCCTTTTTTTTTATTTTTTTAAATTGTGTATTTATGTCTGATATAGACACCGATTTTTTGTATCTTTAAGAAACGTCTTTTTACTCACATGTCCAGATCGCAGTCTCTTCCATATATAGCTTACCACCGACATCACACAAGAAAATAGCTTTTTTTTTAAATTTCGGTAATTTTTCCTTAATATAGTAAAAAAATAAAACCCCCAGTGGTGAATAAATACCACCAAAAGAAAGCTCTATCTGTCCCCAAAAAAGGGTATAAAATTCATTTCAGTACAGCGCTGCATGACGGAATAAATGTCAGTTAAAGTACCGCAGCGCTGAATACTGAAAAATGGCCTGGATGGGAAGGGGGTTTAACACCGCGGATGTCAACTGGTTAAATTAAATCCATAGTACGTCCCGATCTTTAAAGTAACCCTTGGACCGCCTCGAACTGGCAGACGGCCCAAACTTTTTTGTTTATTTGAGATAGTATGAGAGACCCCTGTGAAGATATCTGCCACCTCTATAAAGAACCACCACAGCCTTGGCATAATGATTATATTCTTAAGAGCAAACTACATCCTTTTCCTTGCCAAATTGAGGGCACAATGTAGCTGAGTGGGATACTGGGTTTTGTCAGAAACAGAGAATCTTTTCTTTGCTAACTTTTGTTACAGAGAATTATACTACATTTTGTTGGAATCTCTAAAGGACAGCTAAACTCAGCGAACAGTCTGCATGTAATTTAATCCTGTTACAGCTCATTTCTTCCCTCTGTGTGACCCATTTATATACTGAAGTATTTTAATTCTAACT